CCCAAAAGTAATAAATAACCAACATGTGGCTGTGTGGGAAAAAAAAAAAACAAACAAACAAACCAAAACCAGAAGCAGGCTTAAAGTAGTTGGGTGTGAGCAGCAAGCAGGACAGTGGAAGGGGCCTTGGTAAAGAGCTGTGTGTGATCTCCATGGTGTTTTGGGTATTTACATGTAAAGTCTTTGTCTAGTTAAGTGGTTTGATTGGGTTTCTGTTCCGTGTCCTCAGAGAAACGCTACATGTGTGTAAATGAAACATCACAAACCTGTCAGTTCTGGTTTGAGCGTGGATAGTCTCTGTCAAACTGGGTGATGCATGGAGGAGAGGAGAGCAATAAAGCTGTGGAGAGCCAGAGAGGCTTCGGAGGGATAACGTTGCCATAAGGAATATCCGTAAAGAATGCAATAGGGAACTGGGGAAAAATGAAAACTACAGAGCTGTGTGAATAAGCTTTTGGAGCCCCTCCTGCTTTGGTTGAATGACAGAAAGTAACTAAAAAGTAAATCCCACTTGCAAAATTAATGGCTTTGCATTAAATAAATCTTTCCCTTTTTATTCTTCTCCATATATTCCTTTTCTAAATGTAAATTCAGTATCATTCTCCTGGGGTCACAGCCCTGCTTCTGTTTAGATTTTTAACTCTCTAAACCTTTTCTATGTCATGTAAGTTTTACTGTACTGAATGTTTGTGTGCCTTAGCAGAAAACTGTGATTTTCTGTTGCCTCTAGTAGTCTTGGAAGAAGGTTCTGAAACGCTCTGAGAGTTCTTGGCTGCTCTGTCACTGCCGCCTTTGCTGTGGTCGAGAGCACGTGGGTTTGGAGATCCGTGATCGAGACGTGTGTAGATGTGCCAGCCATGTTGATGCCCGCGTCGTGTGAGCTGCTGCGAATTGCAGACTGAGAAGCGAAGCATAGGTGGAAGTGAGGCTCTCGACAGCACGCTTGAGGAGAATCACAGGGGAGTGTGGACCTCGGGTCTGGGCTGGTGGCAGTCCGCTGGTGTAAATCAGCTTTCGCTGTGGCATGAGAGCTCTAAAGCTCCTTGGGGTTTGCTGACCAGTTAGAAGTCTCGTTACCCTAAATACGCTGGCAAAGGTCCCTGGGAGAACGCGGTTTAGAGGAGTAGCAGATTGTGTTTGCTACGGCAGCAAAGCTCCTTTCCACGTGCCGCGAGGCAGCAGATCACAGCGCTGCTGCAGGTGGAGGGCAGCCACGCGGGAAGCCGAGTGAGCACGGAAAACAAACCCGGATCTGTCCTGCGCTTCAGGCCATCAGGACTGCGCTGTGCGGCAGCCTCACACGAGCAGATCTTTCTGTTGCGAGTGCTCTGTAGCGGGGCTTTTCTAGCCTACCTGATCGCAGTATGGATTCGGTTTTTTTAAACAGGGTTAATTAAGCCGTTAAAGCCAGCAAAGCGTAGAATAAACTACTAAGTCGGTGTACGTTGCGCTCGCTCTGACGCTGATTCCAGGTATCGCGTGTTTGTAAAGTTGCTTCTTTCCCCACGTCCTGACGTTCAGGGAAAGCATACATTTAACAGACATTTGATTTGAGAGAATGCCGACCTTTTCCATGGGAAGGTGTGCGGAGAAATCCATGTACAGGGCAGGCAGGAGGTTCATAGAATCACAGACTGGTTTGGGTTGGAAGGGACCTTAAAGATCATCCAGTTCCAACCCCCTGCCATGGGCAGGGACACTTTCCACTAGACCAGGTTGCTCCAAGCCTCATCCAGCCTGGCCTTGGGCACTTCCAGGGATGGGGCATCCACAGCTTCTCTGGGCAACCTGGCCCAGTGCCTCCCCACCCTCTCCATGAAGAACTTCTTCCTGATATCTAATCTAAACCTCCCCACTTTCAATTTAAACCCGTTACCCCTTGTCCTGTCACTACAGGCCCTTGTAAAAAGTCCCTCCCAGCTTCCTTGTAGCCCCTTCAGGTACTGGAAGGCTGCAGACAGGTCTCCCCGGAGCCTTCTCTTCCCCAGGCTGAACAAGCCCAACGCTCCCAGCCTTTCATCATAGCAGAGGGGCTCCAGCCCTCTGAGCATTTTTGTGGCCTCCTCTTGTCTCGCTCCAACCAGTCTATATCCTTCTGATGTTGAGGGCTCCACAGCTGGACGCAGCACTCCAGGGGGGGTCTCACCAGAGCAGAGGAGAAGGGGACAGTCCCCTCCCTTGCCCTGCTGGCCACACTTCTCCTGATACAGCCCAGGATACAGCTGGCTTACCAAACACAGTTGAGAGCTGTTGATGTTCCACCTGATTTTCTTGGACCTCTTGAGTTTTAAGCAGTGGTGAAACTCAAATGCTTGGCAGGAAGTGAAATGTTGTCCTGTATGTCCTTAAAAGTAAATCTCTCTTGGTAGTAGAGGATTGGAACATGAAAAGCAGAGAGAGCATGCGGAAAAGTGTTCGGGTGAACTTGCTGCAAGCTGGGAAGTTTGTCTGGGGGACAAGGTGAATGGAGACACACTGTGGCAAACTCGTAGTGCGTTAATCCAGTCAGCTCTGCGTCGCTGGGCTGAGAAAATGTTTGCAGTGCTGCAGACCCCAGACAGGGTAACTGGTACTTGCCTGATGCCAGCGGTGTAGGGTGAACACGTAAAAATTGCACCTTGGTGGGCAGGTTCTGGTGTAGGAGCGTGTGCTTGCCCCCCACGGAAGGTTACAGGCACAGTGCCAGGAGGGAGCCTGGGACAACGACCCGTGTTCTGTAACAGTGACGTGTGGGGCGTGCGGAGCTGTACGCCGCAGGGTGGGCAGGGCAGGGGAGGAGGTGGCACGGTCCTTAGAGACTCATCGTGCAGAAGGCAGTTGTAGTCACCGATGCTCAGTGTATCATGTGGTTCTGCTCTCCCGGACCCGCTTCCGCTGCGTGGAACAGGGGTAACATAGGACACTGGGAAACGATCCTCCTGAACGTGTGTTCTTGTGTTGCCCTTTTTGTGACAAAACATAGGAGAAAAAATTGTGAACAAACCTTTATTGACCGAACACTTCTTTTGGTCGTTTGTAACTAAGGGTCGTGGTTAAGCTTAAATTACGTTTGACTTCTGACAGCGTGGGTCCAGCGAAGATCGATGTTTTAATTTTTAAGAGGCATTGTTTAAGTCATGTCCTTCTTATGTGTTACGCAGGAAGATGAGAAATTTCTATCTGAAGTTTTTGCACAATTAACAGATGAAGCTACAGACGATGATAAACGATGTGAATTGGTAAGTCACTGGGCTTGGTAGTTCTTTGAATGCTTTAAACTACAGAGATTAAATAGAAACGTTGAGGCCATTCTGCTGGTTGTGTGTGAGAGAGGTACATCTGTAACCGTAACAGAATTGCTAACGTAGCTCAGTCTTCATGTACTCACTAGGAAAATGTTTCTGGCAAGGTGGGCTATGATCTGCTTGTTCTGCATAACTGTTGTATTGTTGAGAACGGCCTAGCACTAAGCTGACCTCCCAGACTGAAAGATATCCTTCCTTCCAGGTACTCTTCAACTACCTTATCATATATTTGTCACAGAAACGCTGCTTTTCTCACTGCGCTTCACTCATTCAAAACCACCTTTTGAGTCCTGTGACTGAGGATTACCCTGAACAGTCCCTTCCTAGATCCATCACAAACATCATTTAGCCTTGGATATATTGATCAGCTTAAATAGCCTTGTTACAACCCTGGTTTCAGCAAGTTCTTTCAGTCAAAACGTGTGCCACCCAGAGGCGTATAAGTCCTTCCTGTGCTAGGTGGGAGAAAATAGCTGCAAGGTGGCTGTGTCTCTCTGTGTTAAATTTCAGTCCTTGAATTGGGTTGGTTGGTTTTACTTTCCCTTGTTGAAGGTTGGCGGAGAAAGGCCTAGAGTGGTAGGGTTTGCGAGGAAGGTGCAGAGCAGCCAGGGCATGAGCTCTGATGTCATTTGTAGGAGTTTCCTACTTTCAGAGAGTTTTCTGAATCAAATAACACCTTAAATTATTTTTTCCTCTGCGACAGGTTAACTTTTTCAAGGAATTCTGCGCGTTTTCTCAGACATTACAACCTCAGAACAGAGATGCGTTTTTCAAAACATTGGCAAAGTTGGGAATTCTTCCAGCTCTTGAAATTGTAATGGTAAGTCAAGTTGTACTGGCAAGTGAAATCCTGAAGCTGATTTTAGTAAAATGTGAACAAATCCCACGGCCACTGAACCCGGGTTTCAGACCTGCTGAGCACCGCTGTGTAAGCTTCGCTCTGCTGAAACCCGGAGCTCGCTGCAGCCTTCAGAGTCCGGGAGACGTCCAGCGTTGCTGCCGCGGTTCTGACTTTGCGCGATGGAGAGGTCTGTGCTAAATGCAGCCTTTCTGGCAGCGCAGCGTACCAGAGATGCTCCTTTTCCTGCGGCAGCTCGATTACTTTTTCTTCCGTTGTTGCTGGAACGGTGCCCGAGAACTATTTTTAGATAATCTTGAACCGTTAGCTTGTTGCTGTCCGAAAGATCACGTAATCCTGTCTTGTCAGAGGTATAAAGCAGATTAATCTGCCTTAATCAGCAGTGTGAAAACATCGTTTTTGTCACTCCTTTGGTGGAAGCAGCTGTTGCTGCCTGACCGCTGTGATTCATACACCAGAGCTGCTGTTACTCGAAACTGTAAATTCCAGGGCTTTTATATTCCGGAGTAACAACCTGTGAACTTCCCAAAGGACATTGTTAGGAAAACATAGAAGTCATACAGATGTTCAGTGATGAGACAAACCCTAATCTTACTGTTCTTCTCCAGGGCTAGACCAGTCTAGGTATTTCTTATGACGTTAATGTTTTAGGCTTAGAAATTGTACAATTGTTGGAGAAAATCACATACCTTAAGGAGAACTATTAATCCTTGTTGCCCGTGAATGAGTACGGAAGCTGTTGTACCAATTAATTCGTACAGTGGGTCCTTCTGTACAAAATCAATGAACAGTGGATAACAAGTATCCAATAACTGTGGATATTCCAGACAGCGGCAGGATGCGTTTTGGGCCTTAGTCAGGGCTGTCGGATTCACAGAAACCCTTGCATTCTTTCCAGAGCAGGGAAGCAGTGGGTTGGTCTCTGTCTGTCACCGTATACCTGTCTCTCTCAAACTTTTGTAATAAAATGTTCTCAAAGCCTTTTAACTCCTCTTCTTGGTGGCTTTATTTGATAATGAATGCCAAACTTGATGTGCCCTAACAAATTTCTCTCTCTTTTTTTAATTAGGGAATGGATGATCTGCAGGTTAGATCTGCAGCTACAGATATATTTTCTTATCTGGTAGAATTTAGTCCATCTATGGTCCGAGAATTTGTAATGCAAGAGGCCCAGCAGAGCGATGATGTAAGTAGAAGTCTTGGAGCGTGCTGAATATACGGGCAGGGGGGGAACCAGCAAAACAAACCTCTCCAGGGATTTGTTTTGAGGAGGGTGGTGCTTGACACAACTCCAGCAGCTGGATGCAGCTCTCGGGTTCTCTGTTCCCCTTCAGAGTAAAAAAACCCCAGACCAAAAAAACCAACTAATACGGAAATGAGGGAAATCATTCCACCGTTGGAACGGTGTCTGGTTATTTTCTGGGGGGTTGCTTTTGCAGGATATCCTCCTCATCAACGTGGTCATCGAGCAGATGATCTGCGATACTGACCCGGAGCTGGGGGGAGCCGTTCAGTTGATGGGGCTCTTGCGTACGCTGATCGATCCAGAGAACATGCTGGCCACAGCTAATGTAAGGAAGTACAAAGGGGTAAAGACACTTTACTGTCTCAGCAAAACTAAAACCCTGATACTTACTGCTCCTGGTGGGGGGAAGGTTAAAAATTGAGGTGGGTTTTAGAGCATTGTGTATGGTCTGATACCGACTTTAAACAAGCTGAAAAAGCAGCTCAGACGCCCACTAATTTCTGATGGAAGGTGTGTGTACGTGGTACTGTGCCGGGTTTAATAAACCAGGCAGCCCCGGGTTTCAGCTCAGTAGCGAATTTGCATCCGTGGCGGGGTTTCTGGTGATGACCAGGTTGGTTTGATGCCTCAGATCTTTTCCCAAAATAAAGAACCGGATCTTGAGTGCAGATAATCTCGCAGGACCAACCGGGAAGATGCAGACCTAAGGGAGTTGATAGAATTATTTGCAGGCTGTCTTTTGTGGTGCTGCTCAGCCTTGTTTAAAGGAAAGTACACAAGTGCCAGTACTTACTGAAGTTGTTCTTATTTTAGAAAACGGAAAAGAGTGAATTTCTCAATTTCTTCTACAACAACTGTATGCATGTCCTCACTGCACCACTTCTGGCTAATACAGCCGAAGATAAATGTGAAAAAGGTAATGTTATTTTGGGTTTTTTTCCCAAAATACAGCGTGAAGAATATGTGCTGTAAAGCAGAGGGTGTCTTTAGCCCACAGGGATTTTAGAAACAAGCTCACACTCTTCAGTCAAAAGAATGCTTTATGTCTGTTGTATGAAAATGAAACTTGCAGACTGTCTGTAATACTGACCTTACAATATTATCTAGAAATTCAGCATAGGCATTTCCTGTTAGTCTCGGTAGGAACGATACTCCTATTACCCGATTACGTGGCTTCCCCTGGTTGAATTTGAAACTGTGCGGTGCAGATGGCACACGGAGTCGCCTCGGCGTGCCTTCTTGCCGCGCGCTTATTTCCCCGTCGCCTACAGATGCTTGCGATTGGATGACGAGTGCGAGCAGCGGGTAGAACAGATTGGTTGTCCCCGTCTTTGAAACAGGCACGGTGCTTTGAAAACCCTGTTCTGATTTTTGGTTTGATTTTCTCTCTCTCAGATGCAGTAGTTGAGTCCTCGAAGAGTGATACCATTTGTCTTGGTAAGTTTTACTGGACCGTCACTTTTGAAACCCTCAGGTTTTGAAAAGGTGTATGCTCTGTTTGGTGGTTTTGTTAAAAAGAAAAAGATAGATATGCCCATACTTTATTCTTTTAAAGTACCTTACTGAAGTGGATGTAGGTGCTTTGCTGCCTTTGAGGTGACAGGAAGCTGAAGGAACATTTTCATCTGCTGTTGAGTGACTGGGTTTTTTCCCTAGTCAGCCTTGCTGCTCGAAGTTGCAGTCGTCGTTAGCAGAACGTGTACCCAGGGCAGAGCTGAGCCTTTGCAGTTTGGATTTTCATCTCCGCAGGCGTCTTTACTGAGCGCTGCGCAAAGATGTGGCTAGTGAGGGGCACACCAGTACCGGCCTGGCTGGCTTGCTTCTTCTCATCATGGGGCTTTGCTGCCGTAGCCGGTAACTCACTGGTCCTGGGTGAAATCCCGCTGCCAGTGCAGGGCAGTGTGCCACTGAGAGTATCAGGAACTGCAATAGCAACTGAGCTCAGTGACGCTTCTCCATGGGAGCACAATTCCATTTCTTTAGTGTAGCTTACGGCATTGCTTTTTCTTGTAGATAATTACCAGACGGCACAGCTACTTGCCTTAATTTTGGAGCTGCTTACCTTCTGTGTGGAACACCACACGTATCACATCAAGAATTACATCTTGAACAAAGACTTGCTAAGGAGAGTACTGGTCTTGATGAATTCGAAACACACGTTCCTGGCCTTGTGTGAGTATGGAGCTGTTGTGATTTCCTTGGAAGGCGTACGAGGAGTACCAGGGCATACTGAAACTCAAAACTCCCACTCCTGTCCTGTGTATCACTGACCAGCTGCTCGGTTCGGTGATTCTGAGAAAAGGCAGCGGATGCCTGTTCCCATGGGCCAGCACAGCTTATCCTGGGAGGAGAATCACATCTTCTGAAGTCCACAGTGATCCTTCCAGGTCTTTATGGCAGTGAGGATCATTTGTCTTACCCCATTTAAACGGAAATATTGTCATTTCTTAGACACGCCATAAATCTAGAGCTCCTCCTTAGGGAATCACAGACTGGTTTGGGTTGGAAGGGACCTTAAAGCCCATCCAGTCCCACCCCTGCCATGGGCAGGGACACCTTCCACTAGACCAGGTTGCTCCAAGCCTCATCCAGCCTGGCCTTTGACACTTCCAGGGATGGGGCATCCACAGCTTCTCTGGGCAACCTGTTCCAAGGAGGAGGGAATGAAACTTGGTATTTAAAGAGTAGGGCCTGCTTCTGGGAGGTGAACACACAACAGCACAGAAATGAGCTGATAATTGAACTTCTTCCCTCGCATAGGTGCTCTTCGCTTTATGAGGAGGATAATTGGCCTAAAAGATGAGTTTTATAACCGCTATATCACCAAGGGAAACCTGTTTGAACCAGTTATAAATGCCCTGTTGGATAATGGAACGAGGTACAATCTGCTCAACTCTGCTGTGATTGAGCTGTTTGAATTCATCAGAGTGGTAAGTTCAGCAGCATCTTCGTCTCTCCTCAGCCCGTGTGGCATCGCGGGCGGAACTGCAGAATGCAACTCTTTCACCTGTGATAGTGCGTCACTAGAAATCACAGGCTGAAAATCCCGTCGATAAGTATCCAAACAGAAAGGAGCCAGGAGGTGGCTTCCTTGACCATCCCATCCCAGAGAGTGTAGCTCCCATTTCCATGTAGGTCGGTGCAGAAGTGTCCTTAAATGTGTAGTACGTAAGTAAATCTGGGCATTATTTGGTCCAAATGAGACTAATTTGACTGTACATTTGAATGACACTTGTCCTTTAAATCCTACGCCCGTGCTTTCGTGAACAGTGTGGGCTTTGAATGAGTAGCTTGTCCCCAAACACTGCCAGTGGAAAGGACAGGCAGGAGCACCCCGTTTGTTGTGCTGGGGTGGAAAACAAGGACTTGGGAGAGCTCCTGAGCTACTCCCTGCGAGTGCCTTGCCGTGTGGGAGCCTCCTCTGGGAATCTCTGTGGTCTGCGGGAACCACGGGTGGGGTTTAGTCGCCGGTTGGCGTAGCTGCTGGCTTTTCCAGACCTCTCGCAAAGAGAACTGGACAGTACCGAGTACGTCTCCCGCTTACGTGGACGATGTAATAATGATTTCTAGTTTTCAGCTACTTTATTAAAGAAAAACGTGGTTATTTCCCACCTGTTCTTACCATAATGTCTTCGCTCCCAACAACAAACCAGTTGCTCGTAAAACTGTAAAGCTTGCTGCGCGTCAGTCCCTGGGGCTGAAGTACTGTTCTCTTCTCACGCAGGAAGATATTAAGTCCCTTATTGCACATATAGTTGAAAACTTCTACAATGCACTTGAATCTATCGAATATGTTCAGACGTTCAAAGGCCTGAAGACAAAATACGAGCAAGAAAAAGACCGACAAACCCAGAAACTGAACAGGTACGACCAGTCCGAGTATCCCGAGGTGCCGAATGCCGTTGTGTAGTCTTGTCCTGCTGCTGCTTGGGGGTTCTTCCCTAGAAGGTGGAAGAAGCCAAAGGTTGGGGTTTGTTTTTTCATGCCTGATGGAAATTTTTCCGTTAGGGTAAGGCCCCGTCTGGCTTTCCACATGGCCGCCTGTAGCGCAGTCCGTATTTGTCAGGATATTGGGCGTGACATTCCTCAGCTTAGGAAGCGCAGAACCGTCTGCCGTTCGGAGTTGGAGTCAGCTGGCCGTAGTCGGCTGGTGGCAAAGCTTGCGCCGGAGCCGGGCTGCCTTCCCAGTGCTCCGGGTTCGCTTGAAGCCTCGGAAGCCGTTTCTGATCCTGGCCCAGTGTGAGACAGCCGGCAAAGCTTGAATCCCTTGTCGTGTGTCTCTTACAGTGTCCCATCTATATTGCGTAGCAATAGATTTCGCAGAGATGCAAGAGCCTTAGAGGAGGATGAAGAAATGTGGTTCAATGAAGACGAGGAGGAAGAAGGTGAAGCTGTTGTGCCTCCAGTTGAGAAGTCAAAACAGGAGGACGATTTTCCAGATAGCTATGAAAAATTTATGGAAACTAAAAAAGGTAATTGCTCCACGTCAGCTTGTTGGCACTGGCAGCGCGGTGGGGGAGATCCGTGGCCTGTCGCGCAAACGGACCGGTCGCTTGGGCCCCGTCTCGTAAGCCGGGCAAGGGCGTTGCGCGTAGTAGGGAGTTACCGACCTGTCTTTGCGAGCTAGTGCGGGGGTAAGAGAGCGCGTGAAGCGCGCCGAGCGCGCGTCTAGGTTCAGTGGCATCCGGAAGCCACACGTTCCGTGCGCATTAGCAGCGTCGGTGCTGGTGTGCTTGGGTGGGCGCAGCGCGTCAGCTGGTGGTTTACCGGGGTTGAGAACTGGGTGGCTTTAGCGCTGCGGTGATGCGGGCGTTCTCCGTGGTGTGCAGCTGATACCTAACTGTGACAATGTTTGTCCCTCAGCTAAGGAGAGCGAAGACAAGGAGAATCTTCCAAAGAGGACTTCAGCCGGGGGATTCAAATTCACTTTTTCCCACTCAGCCAACGCGGCCAACGGCGCGAACGGTGCAAACAGTAAATCCGTGGCAGTGGGCGAGCCCCAACGGCTCCTCCTCCAAGAACGCAACCCTGACAGCCGCGGTGACGGCCACGAAGGTGGGGGAGCTGTCGTGGCCTAGTGCCCCGAGATGTGCCGGCTGCGATGCGGCCGTAGCACCAGCCCGTGGGCAGGGTCCGAGCCCTGTCCAGTGACACCCTTGGTGGCTCTGGGGAAGGTGTAAGGAGGTTCTAGGTGGGACTGGAGTCTGTCGGTCATCTGGGGGGCAGTTTAATCTCAAATCTCCTGCCCGAGTTACCTGCTCCTCAGCTCTTTACCCCTCCGGTTGCTGTTGTGTGTGCGTGTTGTACATGGGAGACGGTTTTGCTCTGAATTATGTGAGTCCCCTGCCCCGTTGGGGACAAAGGAGTGGCTTTAAGCAGATGACACAGAGCGAGGGATGGGTCTGAGGGCCCAGCGGGGCGAGGGGCGGGTCTGAGGCCGCATCCAGAGCAGCGAGGACGTTTCCTCTACCTGTAACTTTGAGGTTCAAAACGATTCTCAAGCCAAATGGGTCTTGGGATGAAACCTCCTGCAGGCCCGTGCGTCCCCGGCAGCTTCCCTGGGGGTTATGGACTGGAACGGCCCGTTCCTGGGTGGTTTTGTCAGGGTGCAATTTTCTCTTTTCGATTGGCAGGGAAGCCTGGTTGGCCTGGTGGATTATCCCGACGATGAAGACGACGACGAAGAGGAGGAGACATCTCCGCGGAAAAGACCTCGTCTGGGTTCCTAAATGAAACCAAAACTTTGGAATAAAAACTTCTATTATGGGGTTTCCAATGCTGCAACTGTTTTAAGAGCTAAAGAGAACCCGAATCGGAAAGCTTTCTCCCATGAGTATCTAAGATAACACAAGGAGTAGCAAAAGAAACTCGGTGTATCAGCTAGAAAGGGTTAGTTCTGTAAAGACAAAGCTTCCGAGGAACTTGGTGTCTTTCTAGTGAGGCGGGAGTGGGCCGCTCCGGCCGTTGGGAAAAATGAAAAATGTAAAAAAAAAAAAAACCAAACAAAAACACAAAAAAAAGTGGGTTAGTATTCCCAGGACCTGGACGACAGCTTCTCAGTGGGGAAAGTCTCAGGTGCCGGGAGGGCAGGGGGCGGGAAAAGGTATGGTCAAGGCTTTTGTTTTTTAAAAATATTGCAGGGTTTCCCAGTGTTTAACAGAACTAGGCAAAAAGAGAGTTCAAGCTTCAGTTTTGAACGCAGTCATCTTGATTTCGTAACGGTGCTGTCAGTTGTGTTCTTTTAGCAAGGCCTCTTTTAAAAAAGGTTTTTAAGGGAAAACTAACTCTGTTTGCATCAGAACAATCCAGATTTTTGGGGACCGCTTATTACCGGCTCCGTGGCGTGGCTGGTGGTCGGAGGGAGGGGCGCCGCCGTCGGAACGCATGCCCAGCGGTTCAAACCGGTTCGAAATGAGTTACGTTGTCTTTTCCGAGAGGAGAACGCGGAAGCTGGATTGGAACACGGATGGTTTTGCTTGCTTTCCCAAGT